TACAAAAGAACCTGTATACAGTAATACCATCGAAGACCATTTAAATATATTAATTTAAAAAGGTTAATTCATATACCTGATCGCCAGCATTAGGACCGTCTGTATGGAACAGTATAGGACGGCACCTCTTGTCTTCATTCATCAAGCTTGAATTCTGGAAGTGTGCAATGAGGGCATTCTTTCCCTGTATTCGAGCATAAGCCAAAGATGCTACTTTTTCACTGTTGAATTTTTCCCATTTCTTTCCGTTAAATGTCTGCAAAAGCCAAAAAATAAAAAAATAAAAAGCATATCCAACTATAGTCTAATCCCTTTTTATTAAAATATATATCCACACACACACACACACACACAAAAATAACAAGGAATCGACTGAAAATACCTGATAAAAGGGAACTATGAGGGAAGGATCTGTCATGTTTATAAATGCGTAGCCCACATTGCATTTGTTCTGACAAACAAAAGAAATACATAAGGCTCAAACATACAAGACTTTCGCTGCCAACTTAATGTCAAATGAAAAAAACTGGCAACATATACAATGTTTCGACGTTGTTTCAAAAGTCGGGGTAAACTTGCCTTAAAATCAATAGGTAAGTAAATAAAATCATAAGTTCCTCTGTGACGTTCGTCAATGGCAGCTAAAAGCATCTTTGAGGTGTACCTGATATTGAAAGCAAAAAAAAAAATTGAATATGTAACCATAGGTGTGCAAAAATCACATAATTCAAGAGTGATATTCACATAGCCATAGTAAGATAATGAAGAATCTCAGAGTTCATATGTTATGAACATTCCATGGTTCTACTATTCTGGCAAGAAAAGGTCATGAATCAATCTTTTCATATGAAAGTAAAACTGTAAGAACTCCATACCCAGCATGAAGATTAATATAGAAAAGATGGAACAGGAGTAATCAAATTAGCATCCAGATATTACATTATTAGCATGATAACTGGCTGATACAAACAGATAGCATGGGCACTAGCATAAGGCTACAGGAAAGCTAGTTTAAAGTTTGCCTGAACAAGGTATTATTATCTCTAATAAACCGTTAAAAGGAGGATGGCATGATAGATAGTAAAATTATGTATCTGCCCAGAAATGTATGCATGAAGTACCATCCACTTGTATGTAACCCTACAGCTTAACAAATGTTATAAAATTAATCAACAAAGTAACTCGAAGAGTTCAGATTTGGACATGAAAATACGATTCAGATAACTTAGGGTACTAAGGCATACTTGTTGGGAATGTTCTTTAACATAAGGGTAGTCCGCTTATCTTCTCCCCGTGCAATTCTGTCTATGTCAAGCTCAAACTGTTTCTTGTTGTCAGCTTGACTCGAGTTGCCTTCATTCCTGCGGCTTCTAGCCCGTTCGCTAGGAGAATCAAATGAACCCATCATAGGAAGCATTTGCCCTCTTGCAGGGAAAATCATGCACCTCTGCTGATGAGGATGTAATCCAATATTTTTGGAAGCGATTGGCATATCCATACAATTTCCACCAGCTCGAGGAAAAATGTTATGAGGTACAAACTCGAGTGGATGCGGAGAATTACCAGAATATCTCATGTTCCCGAGAGAACCTGGGTGAAATACAGTAGCATCAGGTGACTCCCCAGCATAAGCATGTCGTCTGTCCCAGAGTGAAGGATTGACAGAAGGTGCTGACCCAACATGATGGTTATTTAGAGGCAGAAGTGAATTCAGCATATGAGATGGAGCTCTTGAAACTGTATGCATCTGTTGAGGATGAGCTGCAGCACCAATCCCATTAACAAATGATGGTGAACTAGGCCACAAAATCGGCTGAGGCTGCTGTGGATGATGTGAATTACTCCACATGTAATGACGCCCAAGAGGAGGACAGCTCCCATTAGAGGAACCAAAAGCTGAAAAGAGCAAAGACCATAAATAGTGAAGCCAAAGAATGAGACAACATGTAAGCTATTCAAAGAATTTGACGATACATAGCTATAAGAAACTAAATGTGACAACACCTAGAAGAAGCTAGCCTAAGTAGCCATCATACTTTCAGATTAAGACAACGGAGTTTACTAAATGTTCTTGTTCAGCAATATAATCAAAGAATTCCGTATGTACACAAACTACAGGGTTTGACTGCAGATCCTATTTTTACTCAATTAGAGTAATGCTACATGCCCTACGAGCACACTGAAATCAAGGTAAATAGATGAAATAAGCAACAAGATATGGATAATCATTACCTTCCTTTAAGTCAATCGACTGCCCATTGGAGCCAACTCTACAAAACTGCTGTTTATCAATCATTTCCGGTGGTCGGGTACCAATATTTGCTGCAATGTTGCTTGGAGAACCAAAAGGAGGACCAGTTGCTAAACCATCATGATATTCAGGAAGTGAATGAGGATGAAGATTTGCTTTCCCCTGGAGCTCAAAATTCAGGTGGCTCCGTAAGTGGTTTGACTCAGTTATACTGAGTTGATTTCCAGGTTCAACTCTTATTGGCGATGGTAAGCTGTTACTTACACTAGAAGATACCTCAGGGTGCAGCACATTATCCAGGAGCGGACGACTAATAGGGCCTCCATTCGTTGAAAAAGGGCCAAGGATTGTTCCATGATCTGTAGTGGGTGCACTCCCCCCAAATACTGTTGAAACAATTACAACCCATAAGTACTACATATATAGAAAACTCATCATCTACCAGTACAATGTACAAGAAAATTACCAGAAAACCCTGCTGCAAAGTTATTAGTAGAGTTGTTCTGTTGCAAAAGAAGACCACACTCTTCCTGTTCCAACTCTGAAGAACAAGGCTGCATGAATCTATACAACCGACAGATTAGTCTTTTAAGTTGGCAGATAGCAATATCAGAAAATTAAAGCCCAATTGATTATACTAACTAATTTATTAGTATTAAGTGAGGTTTGCCTTGATAAATATGGAAGTTGAACTTATAGATTTTAGTAAAAATACAAATCCACCTTTTGGTGCCACCTGGATGGCCAGGTTCAAGCTTAATCTGTTTTCCAGCAATATCACTTCTGTTCAGAGCAGAAAGTGCAGATTCTGCAGCTCGGACATCGTAAAACTCTATAAATTTGTGGTGTAACATATGTGGAGAATCACGAATCTGCTCCACAAAAGCCATAGTTAGTAACTTCACTTGAACATGAACAATATGTTAATAATAGGAAGCTGCACTCATTCACCTCCTTGATATCGCCATAGACACCAAAAATCTCACGGAGTTCATTGTTTGAAACAGAAGAATCAAGGTTGAAAACCATAAGAGTGCCCTGATTTATGTCTCTATCTGAAGGATTCTCCTGAAAAATAGTCCACCACAGAAAAGAAATTAATAGTTCAAGAAAAAAACAATGAACGCTCCCATCATATACTGGAGAACAGAAACAAAAATGGGCAGAGAAATTTAAAATATGCAATGACAGAAAAAACACCTTGGGAATTGAGAAATGTATATCAATCTTCCTACGCCTTAATGGTTTATTTTGGAGCGCTTTCATTGCATTACGAGCTGCTCTTAAATCATAATAGGAGACAATAACAAACCCCCTGTGCTTGCATGCAGTGTACAAGGTGCGGATATCTCCAAATTGCTAAAATTAAAAAATTCAAATAATAAGAGCAAAGAAAATGCTTGAATCACAAGGGGTGGTGACAAAATGTTATCGTTGTTTACCTCAAAAATTGTTCGCACCTCAGAATCTTCAATGGTGCTACTTATATTTCTAACAAAGAGTGTTCTCGAGGGTTGCTCATCATAAGGGTGTTCCCCGCCGTTGGCACTCCCAGATATTACCGGTTGATTACTAGAATTTACATCACTAAGTTGAGACTTCCTTTGAGAAAAGCCATCCTCTCCAAGTTCCAGTCCTCCAACACTGCTAAACAAGTCTAGATCTTCCATATATTCCCCATTATCAGGTCGAGTGGAGTTATTAAACCCATCGGTCACGCCAGAAAGCAAGTCATCATCATCAGGGAGAAGATTGCCAATAGTTTGAGCCTCAAGTTCTTCAAGCGACTCAAAAGCCTCTCCTTCCTCATAACTTACGGGAAAAGCAGCAGCAGCAACACCACCACCACCAGCAGCATGACTATATGTAGCGTTATTTGGAGATATTTTTACTGCAATAAATATATTTTATGGAGAATAAGGAAAATCAGATGATGACATGGTTCAAATATTAAATGACATTTAAAAATATGTAAAAGGAGGACATACATTTTCTATTAAATATATCTGACAGAGAACTAGAAAAAAGACCATTTTCATACTGAGCGCCCATCAAATTTGCTTTATCTGCATTGAAAAAATATGAACCAGAGTCCACATTCAAATTAGTTCTAGAACCTAGATCACGGTCAACATCACATGGCAAGGAATGACTAGCGGCTCTTTCTGCTGCGACAATATGTTTCCCTAACAAATTAGCATCTCGACTACGATTGAGATAAAAGTCAGGATGAATAAAACCCTTTGCCATTTGTGAATCCACTAGGATTTGACTTTCGAGAGGTGACGAAGCAACAACGTCTGTTCTTAGAATTCCAACTGGATTTAGATCTGCAAATTATTTGCAAAATTTAGAATAGCTTCATAAAGGCCTAAACGAGTCTATGCATAGACAAAGAATTTCATGATACATGTTATGAAGTTATCATGTGCACATTTATACCAGAGAGCTGGACTTTGACTTTTCATTCCTACAATGCAAACGGCATCTTTCATGTGTTTTATAAGTTAAGAAATTAATGTAACTTGAACAGAAGCAGCAGCTATACCAATTGAGAATCAACTGTCTAACAAGTCAAGGACAGTCGGAATCAACAACTCACCAGAGTAACTAGTCATGAAGTCTGTCTTCCTTACACCAACCTGTCTCTGCAATGTTTGGAAGAAACAATATTATATAATCAATCAAATGGAACAAAATAACCAAAAATGTATAGTTAAATTGTAATAACAGTTCTCTATGTAGTCTAGTAATGCAAAAGCATGCGGCTAAACTATAAAAACTTCTTAGTCTGAAAGAGGCAAGCTCAACAACACACTGGAAAAGAGTACCTCATTAGACAAACACACCTCCTCAGAAAAGAAGGATGAAGGAGAAAATCCCCGAGAGTTCATAATTTCAGAAATCTTGGGTGGTCTTCTCAAAAGAAGCTGTGTCCTTGGCTTAAACCAAAGCACAAACACGTTGATCCTGCCAGAATTCAAGAAGCTCCCACCTCACTATCAACCTGGGCACACAATTAACACGATGATGCGAGTGAAAACCTAAATGGTTGAGAAGACACCTAAACAACAGAAAAGCCTCTGTAGAACCAAGAAGGCAAGTAGTTTTCGCATGTATGCTAAAAGAATGTGTAACATGAAAGAATGTCACACACATTTCAGCTGCTGGTAAATAAAAGAAATCAACAAGGTTGCCACTCCAAATGCCGGTGCTAAAACAACACCGTTCCTATGATAACAGTTGCTTTTAAGATCTTAGAACTGTAGTTCAGTTATTAATTACAACAATTTTTTACACAAAACAATCAGCAAAAGTAAAATAGTAAGGGCCCTTCCGTAGTCCAAAAAAACCCCCAAACAAATACTTGAAACTTAACAGATCAAAATGAGAATCACTGCAAAACCCTCCCACCTGTAAAATTATGGCTATTAAACTAAATTTCAGCATTGTACACACACACAACAAACCGTCCGAAAAAAAAAGTCAGTACCCTGGGACTTGGAAAACCAAAATCCTAAAATGAACAAACTCCATACAACTGAAATTCCACGATTATTCAACAAAACAGTCGAAAGATGATTAACTCACCACCAAAACTAGAACGTCATCCCCAGGAACTCAGAAGACAAGAGAAAGCAGTTCAAGGAAATGGAACCGAGCAGAAGACAACAGAAGGGTTTCAAAATTGGTACATAAATTCAGGGAAGAGAATAAACAAGAGAGAATCAATCACAGAATTTAAGATCGGCAAGAAAAGGGAATAAATTGCGGCAAAAGGCAAGGGGGTAAGGGTGATTTCAGAGGAGATCTAGGTGTCTGTGCCGTGCAAATAACCTCCTCCAAAGCTTCTTCGATGCCTTTCTCTCTCTTCATTTTTTTCTTGCTGTTTTCCCTACATTGCACGTTAACCACATGTATCATCTATTCTCTCTCTCTCTTAATTCTTATTTGAATTATTTCTCTATAAAATATACATCGGAATTTCGCCTCTCTCTCTCTCGCCTTTCTCCCCTGTCGATCTCCACCTGTCTGTCAGGACAACTTGACCGTGTTACGCTGGATTTGTCTCTCAACCGCCGCACCAACGACCGGAGGGAATCGCATCACTTTCCGGCCAGCCACGGCGGAGATCCTGATCTCCGCCGCCTGCTCGTAAAACTTTTATGAATGGATTAAATTCAACCGTATAACGTGGAAATCAAAAAAAAAAAAAACGTTGAGAGAGATATGATGAATGGAGATCGGTTTTGAAGAGAGTAGAAAAACGCAAGAAATTAAGCAGAAAACATAAAAACAGAATTCAACAAAATTTGGCAAAATTAAAGCATATTTATTGGGGGGTTTTTCCTCCTTTTACTTGAATAACAATTTATGTGATAAATTTTGGTTCAACAAAATAATTTGTCGTGTGAGTTGGTATCGTCTATTGGCGGTGTACCTACGCTGTTTTTTCTTTCTTTCTTT